TATTATTATTATTATTATTATTATTATTATTATTATTATCATCTCATCTGCTTCTCTCACTCCCTCCAGTATCCTTCCTCCCACCTTTTCCTACCTTTTTCTTCCTTCTCCCCCTCCATCAAAAAGCACAAACTTTGCTCCTGAAAAGTGTGACACTTCCTAGTGCACTGAACAGGAGGCTTTACTAAGTGGCCACAGTTTTGATTTATCTGTGTTCTTTCTTCCCTCCCTTTTCTTTTATGTAATCATATACATGTGTAGTCCTGGCATTTTCTAGTTCAGGAGGGTTCTCATAGCTAACACTTTATTTTCTGATTATTATTTCTGTACTTCTGCAATCCTACGGGTTTTCATGCCCTCAGAATATTGATACTTGTCTCATCTTTCTGGTCAGTGTGGGTTTTGATTTGTAACAATTGTCCTGCACGACTGGTTAGCACTGATAAGAATGATAATCATAACATATAAGGACAAACTATAATAATGCCTAAATTGGAAACAGAAAAACAGTCAGGGATATGGCTGAACAAATAAATGACAAAGAGTGAAAGTACTGCTAAAGAAGAATAGGAAGGCTACAGAGAAGATGAATTCATTCTTTCCATTTGTTTCCAATCTGGAACATGCTGCACAGTTAAGTTTTTCCTTGAGAGAAGATCTAAAGTTTAATAGCTATAACAAGAGATGACACACTAGTTTTAAATAGCAAATTAAAAAGTAACTATGCCTAGATAGAGTACTACAGCAGCATATTATATTGACCTAGTACAGAGGAGGCTCAAGTTCACATCTTTAGGGCCTTTGCATACTGCCAGAAATAGTGCAAATTGAGTCCACTTTTAGGGTTAGGGTTAGGGAATCATGGGAACTGTATTTTATTGTGGCACCAGAGCTCTCTGACAGAGAAGGCTCAATGTCTCAGAAAAAAAACAATTCCCATGACTCCCTAGCATTAACCCTAACCCTTAAAGTGGACTCAATTTGCACTATTTCTGGCCGTCTGCAAAGGCCCTTACTTAATCATTTAGTCCACTGGGTCAGTCACGCTCTCTTATGCTTATCTACCACACAAGGTAGTGGAGATGATAAAATGGCGAGACTACATACTCCATCTTGCTCTCCTTGGAGGAAAGGTGGAGTTTAAGTATAATGTAACTCAGGGGTAGGCAACCTTTCCCCTTTAAGGGCCGAGGGACTTCAGCTCCCAAAATCCCAGGAGCTATTGGCCAACATGGGACTATTGGCCAACATGGCTGAGCCTACCCCTGATGTAACTTATTTAAAAACTTGTACATTACAAGTAGAAGCCTAAATACCTTGAAGGCACCAGATCCTGTCTGATCTTGGAAGCTAATAAGGGTCAGCCCTGGTTAGTACATGGATGGGAGACCACCAACAAATTTCAGGTGCCGTAGGCTATATGTCAGAGGAAGGAACTGGCATAAACACTTCTAAGTAATCCTTTACTAAGAAAACCCTATGAAATTCATGGGGTCACCATAAGTCGAGAGGCAATGTGAAGTAACATACCTGTACACATACACATACATACATACATGCACACACACACACACACACACACAACAAGTAGGAGTACTGAGTTAATTGGTTGTAGTAGAATTTGTTATAGTGACTTGGTCATAGTAGAATTAACATTTCTATTATAATCAAATACCTTTTCAAGAGTATGAAACATAACATCAGCCTTTTTTTTAAGGGTGCACAGGTGAATTAGGAAACTGCAAAGCCATCAACTTAACTTCTGTCCCAGATTAATAGGTGGAAAGTGTTACTCAAGCTAGAGCTGAACATACATACGGAAAAACCTGGCTAAGGAAGATCCAATATGGTTTTTATAAAGGAAAATACTACTTCAGCAACCTTCTCAATTGTTCTAAACTCATTTTTAAATATATATATATATATAGAGAGAGAGAGAGAGAGAGAGAGAGAGAGAGAGAGAATTATAACATTTGGACTTCCAAAAGCTTTTGACAACATGAAGGACTTCCAGAGTCTTAAGAAAACATGGAATGACAGTCTTTTATTGATGACAAATTAGTTAAACAACAGGAGTAAGTGGATAAGTGTGTATATACCGTATTTTCCGGCATATAAGATGACTGGGCATATA